GTTGCATTGGTCTGTTTTTCTGTTTTTGTGCCACCACCATATTGTCTAGATTACTGTAGTTTTGGAGTATATTCTGAAGTCCGGGAGCCTGATTCCTCCAGCTCCATTTTTCTTTCTCAAGATTGCTTTGGCTATTCGGGGTCTTTTGTGTTTCCACACAAATTGTAAAATTTTTTGTTCTAGTTCTGTGAAAAATGCCATTGGCAGTTTGATAGGAATTGCATTGAGTCTGTTGATTGCTTTGGGTAGTATAGTCATTTTCACAATGTTGATTCTTCCAATCCAAGAACATGGTATATCTCGCCATATGGTTTGTGTCATCTTTGATTTGTTTCATCAGCATCTTATGGTTTTCTGCATACAGGTCTTTTGCCTCCTTAGGTAGGTTTATTCCTAGGTATTTTATTCTTTTTGTTGCAATAGAAAATGGGACTGTTTCCTTAATTTCTGTTTCTGATATTTTGTTGTTAGTGTATAGGAATGCAAGAGATTTCTGTGTATTAGTTTTGTATCCTGCAACTTTACTAAATTCATTGATTAGCTCTAGTAGTTTTCTAGTGGCATCTTTAGGATTTTCTATGTATAGTATCATGTCATCTGCAAACAGTGACAGTTTTACTTCTTCTTTTCTGATTTGGATTCCTTTTATTTCTTTTTCTCCTCTGATTGCTGTGGCTAGGACTTCCAAAACCATGTTGTATAATAGTGGTGAGAGTGGGCAACCTTGTCTTGTTCCTGATTTTCACCACTGAGAATAGTGTTTGCTGTTGGTTTGTTATTTATGGCCTTTATTATGTTGGAGTAGTTTCCCTCTATGCTCACTTTCTGGAGAGTTTTTTTCATGAATGGGTGTTGATTTTTCTTGACTGTATAATTGATTTAAAATGTTGTGTCAGTTTCTGGTGTATAGCAAAGTGATTCAGTTATACACATATATATTCTTTTGCATATTCTTTCCCATTATGGCTTACTACAGGATATTGAATATAGTTCCCTGTGCTATACAGTAAGGCCTTGTTATTTATCTATTTTATATATAGTGGTTTGTATATGTTAATCCCAAACTCCTAATTTATCCCTTCCCAACCCCCTTTCCCCTTTGGTAACCGTAAGTTTGTTTTCTGTCTGTGAGTCTTTCTGTTTTGTATATAACTTCATTTGTGCCATATTTTAGATTCCACATATAAGTGACATCACATGGTATTTGTCTTTCTCTTTCTGACTTACTTCACTTAGTATGATAAACTGTAGGTAAATTCAATTTTTTTTATAATTGAAATAAGCATTTGAGAAACAAGGCAAATAAAAATTTACTCCTAATGGAAGTATGATAATGATTTATTGTTTAGTGAGAAACGCTAGTTTCCAAATGGTTTGACTAGGACTATCTTTTTCTATTGTTAATCTTATTTTCTATTTTACTACTATAAGCATGATTTATTTGTATAGTACTTTAAAAATTAGGCATAGTTTCTGTTATTAGGATTAATAAAGAAAAAGATTCTAATATGATACTATAATGAGATGAGAATGAGAAGGTTATGATTTAATTCCTGATTTATGGATGAGTCACCTGATTTATTTAGTCCCTAGCTTTTGTCACTTGTAAAATGAGAAAAAGATGATATTCATCTAGGTGTGGAGATGTTATCAAGTCTGGGAGTGTTCTGTTTGCAAAATCAATAGGAAAACTGAGCTCAAAACAAAACAGAGAGCAAAAACAGACACCTAAGCTTAAACTCAAGTATTTGGGTATTTCATTATAGTGTGAATTATCTAGAGTATTCCTTTAGGTCTCTGCCTCATTTTGCATTGTTAGTAAACATCATCAGAAACACCCACAAATGTTTTAACTCCTTCACCTATAATATCTTAAGAAATTTAAAAATATTAACTGAAAGAGATATATGGAAATAGTCACCTTATTACTGCTATCTTAGGGATATTAAGATTAATTAATATTGATGATTCAGTCATTTCTCATGATCAGATTGAATGATATAAAGTTCGCAGTCATTGATTCCTTTCACTCCTCTCAGGCACACCCTCTGTTCCTATAATCCATCTTGGAGTATGCATTATGTTGAAAAGCTGATGAATAAGGAATTTCCTATTCTGGAATATGCAAGTGTTACAGTGAAATAAGAGGACTTTCATTTTAAGGTTAATGGTGACTTGTTAAATACATGCCAGGCATATAGATTGAGTCCTTACACAATTTCCACAAATTTATATTGTGATTTTCTTCAGATTACATAAAATTTAATAATACAGTCTTTGGGATTATACCACGTGGAGAATAGATGCATTTTCTGCTAATAAATCCAATTTGAGAATTTCTCTAACTCTGAATAAAGATGAAAAATCTAAAAGTGGGCAAACGAAGTATGTGTCTGGAAGCTGTTTGGTACTTTTCATTACAACTTGAGGGAGTGATAAAAAAAGAGAAAATGCAACTTATTTTCCCGAAAATGTTACCAAAGAAACAAGTTCTGGTAATCTATTAATATACATCGCAGTTTTTTCACATTTACAAATACCTTCCCTATTTTCAGACATAATTTTTAAAAATGTTCTCCTTTTGTTCACTGTGTCTATTTGAGTACAGCTCAACTAGATACAGAAGTAATTCTGAAAATTGTTAAAACTGTTAAAATATATGTTAAGTGATAAAGTTGTTTTAAGCAGTCCTTGTACAAATGGTTAGGCCAAGAGAATTCTGTTGTGAGATTTCATATTAAATATTAATACTTAGACAGTTAAATCTATTTTATAAGCAGACCATGTTATTGAGGAGGGATTGTGATGTCCTTCCTGACCTTCAGAGAGATGCTGGTCCAGATTCATTGAAAATTGCCAGTGAATAATAGGTAGCTGATGGTATGTGATATTTGTTGATTTGTGATTACCACAATTTCCTGCTTTGCTTTGGCTTTGCAAACATGTCTTTATTTTCCACATTAATACATACGAACCTAGAAAAGGCCTAAGTGCAGTCAGCTATGTGCCCTCAACTGCAATTTTTGCAAATGTGACATGAATCCAAAATATATTATAGTTTTGATCAAAATTAATATGCAAATTTTTTTGTTAAAATTAGTTGTTTGGGAACAAGCTATATCCTAGAAGAAATAAAAAGCTTGAGGGCAAAATCAGAAATTCTCAATATTGGTAAGTGTTTAGCCATTTAATTATTACACATGGGAGGCAATTATTTTCAGTCAAAATGCATCTTTTTATTCTTTGAAAAACATTCAGTGAAAGCATCTGTGGCACTGACATTCTAAAATCCAAACAGAGAATAGATACATCCTAATAAGAAAGCTGATCCTAGGAAGGCTGGTTCTTGCTGGCCCAGCCTGGCTACCTTGTTCTGCATCGCATTGCAGGGGTAGGGGGATATTTATCTTTATTGTTCCTTTGCTTCTCTGCCCCTCCTCTGCCCTTCGACCCTCTCCATTCCTTTTCCTTCCATTCCCTTTGCTTTCTTTTCCTTCTCTTTCCATATGTTTTGTGTAACTTTAAAAAATTCCTAGTTTCGTCTTCTTTCAAATTGATAAAACACATTTGTAAGTGTCATTATGCTGTTAAAGATATACTACCAAAATAATACTTGATTATAAGAAATTCACTCATACAGACAGAAAACATTATGAATATTTCAATTTGGGATAAATTATGGAAACAAATAATAGAATGTGTTTGATTTTTATAAGTAGAAAATACTATGGGACAGCTGCATGTAAAAGAATGAAATTAGAACACTCTTTAACACCATACACAAAAATAAACTCAAAATGGATTAAAGACCTAAATGTAAGACCAGACACTATAAAACTCTTAGAGGAAAACATAGAACACTCTTTGACATGAATCACAGCAAGATCTTTTTTGATCCACTTCCTAGAGTAATGGAAATAAAAACAAACAAATGGGACCTAATGAAACTTCAAAGCTTTTGCACAGCAAAGGAAACCATAAACAAGACAAAAAGACAACCCTCAGAATGGGAGAAAACATTTGTAAATGAAGCAACCGACAAGGGATTAATCTCTAAAATCTACAAACAGCTCATGCAGCTCAACATCAAAAAAACAAACAACCCAATCCAAAAATGGGTGGAAGACCTAAATAGACATTTCTCCAAAGAAGACATACAGATGGCCAAAAAGCACATGAAAAGATGCTCAACATCACTAATTATTAGAGAAATGCAAATCAAAATTACAATGAGGTATCACCTCACACCGATCAGAATGGCCATCATCAAAAAATCTATAAACAATAAATGCTGGAGAGGGTATGGAGAAAAGGGAACCCTCCTACACTGTTGGTGGGAATGTAAATTGGTACAGCACTATGGAGAACAGTATGGAGGTACCTTAAAAAACTAATAATAGAACTACCATATGACCCAGCAATCTCACTCCTAGGCATATACACCAGGAAAACCATAATCCGAAAAGATACATGCACCCCAATGCTCATTGCAGCGCTATTTACAATAGCTAGGACGTGGAAGCAACCTAACTGTCCATCAACAGAGGAATGGATAAAGAAGTGGTACATATATACAATGGAATATTGCTCAGCCATAAAAAAGAACAAAATAATGCCATTTGCAGCAACTTAGATGGACCTAGAGATAGTCATACTGAGTGAAGTAAGTCAGACACAGAAAGGCAAATATCATATGATATCACTTATATGTGGAATCTAAAAAAACGGTACAAATGAACTTATTTACAAAACAGAAGTAGAGTCACTGATGTAGAAAAAAAACTTATGCTTGCCAGGAGATGAGGCGGGAGGGATAAATTGGGAGATTGGGACTGACATATACACACTACTATATATAAAATAGATAAACAGCAAGGACCTACTGTACAGCACAGGGAACTCTACTCAATACTCTGTAATGGCCTATAAGGGAAAAGAATCTTAAAAAAGGAGTGGATATATGTATATGTGTAACTGATTTACTTTGCTGTACACCTGAACCTAACACAACATTGTAAATCAACTATACTCCAGTAAAAATTTTTAAAAATTAATGGAACAGAAAAAAAAAAAGAAAATACTATGCACACAGAGGATGAACTTTATTGAGCTAATATTTTAATATATTTTTAATGTGAAAATATTTCACATCATTTATCACACAAACCACTCAAAACTGCCTTTTTTTATCCTTGAGAGTCTCTTTATAATAATTATCTTATAAATATAAAATTTTGGAATTTTTTAATATGTATTCTTTGAAGGACATGTGTCATTATATACTTATTGTTCATGGGTGACAGTATACGGTTTCATTTCTTTTTTTTCCCATCAGAGCACCAGTTTTCTAAACTCTCATTCCCCACCAGATGCTTTCTTAATAATATACACAACAATACATCCCTATCAGAGGAAAGTGTCCATCCAAAAATTTCAGGAGCTTAATCGTTTTTTCTTCCAGTTTTATTGAGATATAATTGGCGTACAGTACACATTTCAGGTGTACAGCATAATGATTTGATTTACCTTCATCGTGAAGTGATTATCACAGTAACTTTAGTGAACAGCCGTCATCTCATATGGCACAAAATTAAAGAAATAGAAAAAAAAATTGGTGGTGGTTGTGTTGAGAATGCTCAGAAATTACTCTCTTAACAACTTTTATATATAACATACATCAGTGTTAGTTATATTTATCATGTTGTACTTTACATCCCTGGTACTTATTTATCCCATAACTGGAAGTTTGCCTTCATCCAGTCCCCCTACACCTCACTCCCACCTCTGGTAGCCACGACTCTGATCTCTATTTCTATGAATGTGTTCGTTTTTGAAATATAATTGACTTACAAAACTATGTTAGTTTCTGTTACACAACATAGTGATTCTACATTTCTATACACTTCAAACTGATCACCATGATGAGTCTAGTTACCATATGTCACCATACAAAGATATTACATAGTTATTGAAGGTATTCCCCCATACTGTACACTTCATATTCAGGAGTTTAATCCTTATTGTGATGTTGAAATATAGCCAAATTTAATTTAGACTTTAATATTTTGTTCAGAAAAAAAAGAGGAAAATAACAATTTTAGTGGTGGAGGAGATTTTGCTGCCTCTCGCTTTGTGTAGCTCCTGGGGATAGCAGGAGAGGGGAATTGTTCTCCTTTGTTTCAGCAGCATCGGACCTTTGGGAGTGTGAGCTCATGACAGTTCTTGAAGAGATTCAAATGCTCAAAGGGTAATTTTTTTTTCACTTTATTCAATTTTCAAATTAATTCTGATTTTAGAACTCAATCTTCAAGCAAGATGGAACTGGACTGTATAATTCATAAAATATTTAATATCAATTTTTTTCTTTAATGCCTATCCAATTTTACATGACTTACGAAAATAAGCTGGCATTTTCTAAAGGATATTTAGATCAGACTCCTTGAGGGCAGAAACAATTTCTTATCACTCTTGTATAACTACCACGGAGCATAGGTACTGGCACACAGTAGGTGCTCCATGAATATTTGCTGAATGAGTAAAATGACTGCCAGTATGTCCCATTAACTTTGAATAAACTGTTACATTTAAAGCATTTAAAACGTTTATGTCTATTTGCTTCATAAGAACATTGTCAGGTGAATGACACACAGTTTTATGTTTCCAAAGCCTGTGTGCAAATTGACCTGGCCATGGAGGAAAAGAACACAGGGAGACTCAGTTTGGGAAAAAAAAGAAGGCTGAGACTTCCATCAGGCTAGTGGAAGGAGTGGATGGATATACAGAAGTGGAGCAACCTGAAAGCATCTAACCTGACGCAAACTTTAACAGGACTCTTGGGAAAGGTCAAAAGCTGTATCAGGAATAAACATGAATAGTGCCTGATGTATGATGCCATGTGGCTTGGTGGGCTGTGTTGCAGCAGTCGTGAGAGCAGACAGAATGAGCACTCTCCTCTCTTTCCATATCCCTGTCTTTTGGTCCAAGAATACGCCGACAGTAAGAAAATCTGTGAAAAAAAGTTAGACAAACATTAAGCTGGAAGAAAATACTAATGACTAAAACCAAATGATTTCTTTTCCCTTTTTAAAAAAATTTATATTATTGGGGTATAGTTGATTTACAATGTTGTGTTAATTTCTGCTGTACAGCAAAGTGATTCCGTTATACATGTACATATAACCACTCTTTTTTAGATTCTTTTTCCATATAGGTCATTACAGAGTATTGAGTAGAGTTTCCTGTGCTATACAGTGGGTCCTTATTAGTTATTTATTTTATATATAGTAGTGTGTGTATGTCAATCCCAATCTCCCAATTTATCCCTCGCCCCCGTCCTCCCTGGTAACAATAAGTTTGTTTTCTACATCTGTGACTCTATTTCTGTTTTGAAAACAAATGATTTTTAAACTCTAAGGATGCAAAGTAAAGTTAATGTAGATTTGTAATGTAGCTGCCAAAAACCCAATATCATGCAACTTTATATGGTGTTGTGTATGCCCATGTTGGGGGAGATGGCATATGTTAAGAAATCTTAATATCAGAGACATGGACCATTATGGAATGACTCTAGGGGAGAGTATTCCAAATGCTGTGGGAATGAAGAAATTGCATGTTCGTCAGAAGCAAACAGAACAGATGCTGCTATCAAGTTTTCTTAAAGGTTCTACCAGGTTCCCTGCCCATCCTCTAGTTCCACCCACTGCCATTTACACCTTCTCTCAGAAATTCTACTGTGAAAAGACAGACTACGAGGAAGTGAGCACGTATTCAAAACCTGGTGTTATGTTATCTTAGTCCCACACAAACATGGGTAGGAAATGACGTCTGAGGCAGGTGTCCATCCATTCAGGGAAATGAAAGTCTGTGTGAAGCAGCTGTGATGGTTGCAGTATTTGAAGGAAATTTTTTTTCTAGTGTAAACCTACTTCAATAGGAAAAATACTGGATTCAATTTATACAGGAGCCTTTAGGCATTCTTAAGAGTAGATGCAATCTGATTTGGGAGAGTTTTGGGGAGCTGAGTTTTGGCCCATGTATTTGAATATCCATCAAAATCTCTTACTGAAAAGAGTTTAGAATTTTATCTCTCTATCAATATTTTTATGTCACTTATTGCAAGGCTTATTCAATATCAAGCCTGCTCCAGTTTGATAAGCAGAGATTGTAATGGTGAGCATGGCCAAATCCTTGCTTAGCCCGAGGCAAAAATGGTAACAGGTTTAGTTGCAACACTTTCCTGGAACATGGTACCCAGAAATAACCAGACCCCAAACACTGATAAGGTTGTCATGGAGAACTACATTCCAGTCTTAAATCTGTTTTTTGCCAGGAAGGGTGGATTCGAATTCTACAGGCTTCTTGAATTTCCACTTAGCATCTTTGTCTACTGAGATGTTCTGAAAGATGCCAGGAGACACTGGGCCAGCCTAAACTGAATTACTGAAATGCTGTGAAGCTGTATGTCCTCTGCTTGTAATTTCACTGTAAAGACTGTGATAAATACTTCTTAAAAATATGCATTAATAAGAAAAGATTAATCAAAACACCAGAATCAAAAGGCAGTTTCCTAAGCATGTCTTCTGCATGACTGAATCTGTTGGTTCCAATTTCTCCTGCTCTGTTTTCACTCTACTATGTCAGCTGAGACTTTGAAAAATCTTTCTCATAGTTTCTTCTTTAGAAGTTTTCCCGTTTAAAACCAAATGTCACTTATTGCTGTGTTTTTTTGTCATTTAAAAATAATATAAACTCTCTAAAACATTAGGAAAGTAGAGAAGATTAGCCATAGTTTTATCATACAAATCTTTTTTTTCTAGTATGTTGTTTTTCCCTGATATTTTAGTGACCAAACTCATTACAGAACTTTTATCCTACTTTTAAGTCATGATATAAATCTTTTTATATATTATTACATAGTCTTAATAAGAATCATTCGTACATATCATGTTAGCTACTCCTTTCTACATCATTAATTTGCTATTGTTCAATATTTGCTTTGTTTCCAGTGTTTATTATTATTATTAATACCATGACAAACATAATTTTGAGTATTTTTCATATATAGGGTTTTTCCTTAGGATATACTCCATAGATCCATATTGTTGTTTAAAATGGTTGTACAGATATGAGATTGGCTGTCTTACTCTCAGCATTGGTTATTATAATAAAAAATTTTTTTGCTAGTCTGATATATGCGAAATGATATTTCACTATTATATTATTTTTATTCTTGCTTACACCCAACGCTTTGCCCATAACATTTGTTGCACAGAGTTTACCCATTTGGTTGTTTTCTTTTAAGTTCTGTTTATTAGAATTTTGACATAAAAATTTATAGCTATAGGAATCAAATCTACTTGACATTTTGCTTTATGTTTTTACATTAATGCATATGTATTTCTAAGCTAAGAAAGCCCTTACTCATAGAATTTTAAAGATTAATTCCATTTTTGAGTTTTTATATTGAAAAACCACATATTCCCCTGAATTTATTTTCACCCTAAGATATCATGTGATATCCTAGAACTAAACTAAAATTTTCAGCCAACCATGGTATGCCAACATGGTACAACTTTACATGGATGTGTGAGTGCCTGGGTGTTGGTCGAATCCTCAGATGCAAAGCCCATGGATAGGGAGGGCCGGCTGTACCAACCATTTTATATGCTCGGGGGATTTTGGCATCCAAGGTGGCTCCAGGAACCAATCCCCTACAGATACTGAGAGACAACTGTACAACAATTCATACCATGTACACAAATGAGAGGAAACCAAGGCAAATTTGGGGAAGGGTCAAGAGGTCAGATAAAAGACTTCAGGAAGTTCTCGTTGGGTTTATTCTCCCTGTTTTTGCCCTTATCTGAGTTATGGTGCTATTTTTTCCTTTCTCCCATGTATCTTATTACTTGGGTGACCTTGGGTAGGTTCCTTAACCTCTCTAAGACTCAAGTTTCTTCAGCTGTTAAATGGGATTGATAATATCAATTACCTCCTGGAGGTTCTCAGATAATATCAATATATGAAAAGTGCTCAGCACAGGGACTCAGATATATGTTTTTAGTATATATTACTTTCCTCCATCTCTTACCCCTCTACCAAACTTGTTCTCAGATCCAGATCTTTCATTCTCATTGGCATTTACCAGTTGACGAGTTTGGCCTTAGTAGCCTGTTTCCATTCATTAAGACAAGGTTAATATTCCTGAAGTAAGCCTTTAAGAGCAACCCAGAAATCCCCGGGGATCTGGGAAATGGAATTATAAGCTGAGAAATTGCTCTTGGTTTGCATTGTAGGACCTTAACTGCCCCAGCTGCACTTTTTATGGTACCGGAAGTCTGTAAGAGGTGAAGGATAGTCGAAGTTCTGCATTACGTCTTCCCTGTTATCATGCCAGGGACCGCAAGCCTGACAGTTTTCTCTGGTGTTAGATGGCAGTTTTCTCCGTGGGTTTTATCTGCCCCCTTCCGTGAAGAGATAAAAACTGTCAGCTTGTGGAAGGCAGAGTTCCCACGGGGCGCTTTGGGATGGTTTTACAGCACCAGGTTGGGAATTTAGCCACTTTTGTTTCTTTTGTCTCAAAACTTGTTTTCTTTTCTTTATTATGCCTGACATTTCCCTGTTAAAAATTAGATTTCTTTCTTTTACAGAAATTAAAAAACTCCAATATCCCTGAAAGGGGTTATCAGGCATTTACGACTGTTTACTGAAGGGACTGAAGTGTAAATGAAGGAGCTACGACTCAGACTCTGGAGACAGGTCTGGTGCTGGCTCAGTCACTAATGTGTCCTCTTGCACAGGTCACAGCATCTCTGATGCTTGGTTTTCTTATGACCTTTAATATTGCTTTTCGATCAAATAATGACAATCATAAAAATAGCTAACATGATTGAGCACTTACTTTGTGCCAGGTACCGTGCCAAACCCTTCAAGTGTGTTTTCTAATTTAAATCTCACAAGGCCCTTAGGAGGTAGGTACTATTGTCCTCATTTTACAGATAAGGAAAACGAGGCATCAGAGGTTGAATATTTGCATAAAGATTGGCAGAGGGTAAATTAGCGAGTTAGTAATTTAAACCAGGTCTATGTGATGCTTGTATTAAGTATTCTGGTATAGTTATGATTGATGAATACTGTCCTGATATCTAGCTGAGAACATGAAATTATATTTGGGGAAGAATCGTTGCAAATTGAAGTAAGCAAGGATGGAAGTACTCGAGTAATTTAAGGGCAGATAGTGTAAATAGCTCTAAGATTTGTGGCTATCAGATAGATTCGAAGAATATTTTAATAGGATGTTAGATTGTGAGTTTCAGTGGAGGCACTGAATAGATGCAAATCATGAAGGGAAACATTTGAGTTGGGCTGTTGGAGATGAGAGATGGTTTTGAAGTGCTTTGGAGTGAGCTGCTGCTGTGTTGTGAGTCTTACCTCACCCCCAGTGCGTGGGCAAGACCCGTGTGTGTGTGTGTGTGTGTGTGTGTGCGTGTGCGTGTGTTAGGGGAGAGGGTGTGGAAGGGATGATTGGCTCTCATATCTAGTTTAGTGGGAAGAACTTCGAAGGCACCACTGGGGGAGCTTGGTATTTGTCCCCGGCAGGTAGGGAAACACAGTAGACTGATGTCAAACTCCAGCTTTGGAAACAGAGAGGTCAAAGGTCAGGAGATGGGTTGGACACCATTTTTGGCAGGAAAATCAGACTTGCTGCTCCTTTGAGATTGGCCTACATTTCTGGAGTTTTCTCAAACTAAGAGAGTGCTTCTTGTGGAACAAACATTGAAAAGACAGCTGGTTTGGGATTACTGCTAAACTCTTCTCCACTAGACAACACTTTGACAGTGATCAAAACTAATGTCATAAATGAGGGGGCAGATGGACACTGTGTGCCTGAAGTCAAGGTTACCTGGGGAAGTACAGTTCATCACTTGTGTATTATTCTAGCTGGAAATGCTTAACCTAATCTAATTATGAAGAAATGCAAGACAAACCCAAATTGAGGACTATCCTATA